CGGAGTGCTATTAATTGACTGCTTCTTAGTGAGCTAAATATAATTGTATTAGTAATAAGCAATTATCCCTCAGAGAAATACATGTAAAAATTGAGATTTTATTGTAATATATTATTAAGTGAATTCAACGATTCCCAACTATTTTAAATTATAAATCTTTCGAAAGTTCTTGATTTTTATTTAAGTAATTAACAAGCTTTAAACCTCACTCACTTTCCATCAAATTGATTCTCTCAAATAGTAGTTGAAATATTAAAAGTTTGTAGCACAGATGTTCCAATCTCTGTGGGACGATATCATAAACTATACTAGAATTTGACAAAGCACGAGCAGCAAAATCCTATACACATTGGCCTCGTCACGCGCCTAACTCATATATCATGAGTTGTGCTCTCACCACTATATCAAAGTCACTTAGGTTTTTTTTGTGCCTCAATAATATATGGATTTTATAAAAGTCGTTTCATGGTCTTTTTAATATATTTTGGTTTAGGCCACCAGTTTTGTTGAGCCGCCCCTCATTTGATAATCAACAATTATTTACAAACTACTGCCCCACTATAAACGTATTGTTTAACTAGCTTCATTCACATTTGGTAACTGAATGACAAACTCGCTGCCTTTAATGCTCTTGTCATTATTGCCTTATTTTAAGTAAAGACTGTAAATTTTATTGAGAATGTCAGGGGCGGATAAGTGGCTCTAGTAGGAGACTAGTAAAGCCTTGATTTAGGTCCCCCAAAATTTTTAATAATGGATTTTATAACTTTATTTAAAATTAGACAATATTAATGTTTGTAAAAAAAATAAAAAAGTACAAAAAAAATTATAAAAAAGGAAGAAAGGTGTCTACTCTTAAATAGTAAAAATATTTTTAAAACTTTGAATTAAACTAAAATTTTCATATTAGTAAATATATTTTTTACAACAATATCAAAGGTAACATAATGCAAATACATGTCAAATATCTCATTTATTTAAATTTTTCTTTTCTAATATAAAAAATAATATTACTATGTGAAGTTAAAGACTTTATGTCATTTAAGAATATATGCTATAAATAACAAGTATGACAAAAATGGCAAGATTTTTTTTTTTTTTTTTTTGCATATATGTATATATACGTACTAATAAAAAAAGTATAAGGTCTCTTATTAAAATTTGGCTTTAGGCCATCAATTTTACAGAGCCGCCCTTGGCACTGGGGTTTAGGGCTTTGGACGAGAATGACAGGAGCGCAACTCAATCTCCGACAACGAAAGAAATGAATGGCAAGCATGGAGCCGAATGAAAATGGTGTCAACCGGACCGAAGAAAATTGAATTTGGGTCATTATTTAGAGGAGTCCATTAAAGAAGCGACTCGGGCCTGTGTGTTTGAGATGGGCGAAGTGCAGCAATAACCACTTTTAAGTCCGCTATTTAAAATATATTCATAATTTACATTATATTTAAAGATTAGTCAATTCACCCAAAATTCAGGACTAAGTATCCTGAATTTGGAAACTTAGGACTTAGTATCTTGAATTTTTGAGCTGCTAATTTAAAATTCACGACTAAGTGTACTGAATTTGAACTACTAATTTAAAATTCAAGACATAAGATTCGAACTTCTGAACATAATTTTCGAACTTTAAGACACGATGTCCTAAAGTTTGAACTTTGAGGTTTAAACTTTAGGATGCCGTGTCGTGAAGTTTATTAGAAATTAGCTAATCTTTAAATATATAACTGTGAATATATTTTAAACGTCATGCTTAAAAGTGACTACATGGTGTTATTTCCATGTTTGAAATCCAGAGGACATGACCCTTCAATCCAAGTAGGCCTTAAAGGCTTCAACTTCGATGATTTTCACATATAGCTATTTTTACAGTTACTATTTCAAATATAATCAATGTTTGCAATATACATGAAAGGGTGTAGTACACAAATAGCACTCAGAGTGGAAAGTCTTGCATTTTTGTCCTTTATAACATTTGACCTTGAAATTCTACTCATATGGCAGGCAGGGGTCAAAAAAAAAATCACCAAAAAAATCATATTTCTGCAATTATTTATATTTGAAAATAGTCACAACGGCAAAGACTCGATTCTTGAATTTCAGGATAGTGTCTGAAGTTAAATTTTTTTTAGTTCAAAATTGCAGACCATTGTCCTGAACTTGAAAACATTTGTCTTTTCCAATCATCAGAATTACAAACAAATCATAAAAATCATTTTTCACTTTTAACACTTCTTCTAGAGGACAACCATATGATATACAATTAGATATTCGAAAGCTCATCATATTATTTTTTTTCATTTTTACTAGGTTCTAACTTAAAACATTCTCTGTCTCGTGCTCCGCCTCCGTTCTTCGTCATAAATAACGTCCGGCTGATGGTATGCTTCTTTGTTTCCTTTTTCTTTTTGCTCTTTTTATTGTTTATTTTATTTTATTTCCAGATTTTGGGGCTATATTAAGAGCATGTTTGGATTGGCTTGTTTTAAGTGACTTTTAAGCCAAAATAGCTTTTAAGCCATAAGTTAGGAATTCTAACTTTTTGCTTTTGGCTTGTTTTTGTCATTTTAGCTTAAAAACAAGTGCTTAAAAGCACTTTTTTACTTTATCCAAACACTACAAAATAACTTAAAAGCTATTTTGGCTTAAAAACACTTAAAACAAGCCAATCCAAACGGGCTCTAAATCGCCCCCCAACCCCCACGCCTGAAAAATAAGTTGTGCCATCACATCTTGATGTGTCTTTAAGTTTTGTGTATGATGTCATACATCTTCACGGCTGCAATGTAATTTCGAAGAAGGTAATAAAAAACCTATCTTATTTTCAAGATTATAAATTCCACATTTTAGACTTACCCATTACTGATTTTTTGTTTTTGCTTTTCATTATTTACTGGTTCTTATGATGTTATTATTATTTGTGTGGTTTCCATTATTTGTTGTTGTATTTTAGACTTACCTATGGATATTCTTTGACTGACCTGTTCAGGTTAAAAAAAAAGTTAAACCAACAATGTATACAACTTAAATTCTATAGAGAAAGAACACAAATCATACGCATGTTGCTAAGAAAACAAATATGCATGTTGATCGTTCAGAATTACTTAGGTTGTTAAGAAGCATAAAAGGGTAAAACAATAATGGGGTTCGGAATTCATTTTCCGTGGCCTAGAAAAGGAAAAGAATAACGAAGAAATTCTTGACTTGAGAATACGTCCATTGCTTTGGTTTTGAGTTAAGATTCTGAAATTCCATTCCTCAGAATCTAACCTTTATCTTAAACCCCAAGTCCTTTTCCCCATAAGGAATATCATTCCGTGGTCATTGATTTCCTTTTATTTTGAGCCAGTGTCTTCACCCTGGGGTCAACAAGCAGGCACCAATTTGAAATGTGCGTCTTTACTAATCATGCACAGTGGCAGAGATACCCTTGTACGAGAGTATTATCTGACACCGCCTCGTCGAAAATATATATATATATATATATATATATCTCGACATTAATTTAGGACAATGAGTAAATTCTTAAAACAACTACAACTCCAAATCCTAACTCAAATATAAGATGAGATGATAATAATTAATAAGATGGCATTGCTCACACAAAATTATGCGTACGCTACAGATCGTGCATTGACTAACTCTTCCACCCTTGCCCCTAAGTTGATTCGAAATGCTCTTTCCTTTTTTTAATGTGAGATTCATCTTGTACTTTAAAGTAAAATTAACTCAATCTAAGAGCTTTAAAAAGGAAATGCAAGTACAAGAAGAACAACAGCACATGTTCTCTTCATTAAAGTGGAGAATATATATCATGAAAATAGATTAAAGAAAGCAACAAAAGAGACGAGGAAGAAGAAGATAGATTGGAATAGCAAAGGCAAAGGGTTCTTCTGCATGTCTTACAAAACAGAGGAACAGCAGTCATTGCTTTATGGCAACATCAAGGAAAAGCAAATTAGGTACTTTTAATGTACCATTACTAGAAAAGAGTATTTGGGTTATTTTCAGAGACATAAAACGAATGCAATTGCATGTTTATACTTCTTCCGTTTCACTTTTATGTACTTCTTTAAAGAGTAAATACCCTAAAATCTCCCTAAACTATCAAGTTTTTATCAATTTCCTACTTAAATTATTTGGTGACCCCAAAACTCCATGAACTATATTGTCCTTCGTATTAAAACCCCCTCATTGCCTATGGAGGGGAGTTTTAATATAAGCGGCAATATAGTTCAGGGAGGTTTTGGAGACACCAAATATTTTAAGTAGAAAACTGACAAAAATGTGATAGTTTAAGGGGATTTTAGAGTATTAACTCTTTTTTAAAATATAAAAAATTAGAACGTTTTGGAAAGTTTGTCATCCATCCATCTCCTTAAAACTCACAGCTTTCAAAAATTCAAATATATTAGTTATTCCACTTTAATGTTCTTTTTTTGGCCTTTTTAAAAACATCGAACTAGCTTGTCAACTTATAACTTTAATATTTGCTTCCATCATCACTAAAATCACGGACAGCTCGGTGCACAAAGTATTTCGCATTCACGCAAGATCCGGGGATCACTAACTTCATATATATATATATATATATATATATCAATCACTAACATCATATATATAAGTTAAACTAATATCTTACCTTTCAGTAAAATATAACTGATGAAATATATTCATGGTTTGATAAAGCAACAAATAACAACTATTAGATCTTGGACATCATCAATCATAAAATCTACTTTACCCATTACCATAATGGAAGGAAAATTGAGAATGACAAGAAAAGACAAACAATTGTTAAAGACCGTTTTGTCAAATGAATAACACTATAACAAGACAGTTTGGTCAGATTAACACTATAACAAGAGGTTTCGGGTTCAAGCCCTAATGAAGAAATTTCTGATAAGGAGCGTTTTTTCCTTCAATGGGTCTATGCTATGCACATTTGGATTAGATGAACTAATTGGTTCAGGATATCATATGGTTAAATCTAACCAGAAACAAAAAAAGAAAAAAACTCTATAAATCTCTTGATTTTAGTACAATATAATAGTCCAATGCAACTCACACAGCTAACAGTGCACATCCTCATTTCATTCCTATCCACAACATGCCAGCAAAACAGTACAAGGGAACTCTGCTTTATGCCTATACCACTTTACCTAAAGGTTGTAATATATTCCTCCAAAGCGCATAAAATACCCTAAGATATCAGAATCAGTTTATCTTTTTCTTGAAAGTTCAACTGACAACTGATGTGCATACCTTGTTCGGAGATGAAGAATTTTCACTTATTTGATCTCAAGAGAGAAAATAATAAAACTTAGATAACAAACAGTCTTACAAACCCCTGAGATTTATCCAAAAGATATCTTTTTGACACCAAGAGTCATTTCCCAACAATGCAATCGTGATTTGTTCAACTTGCTGACCAATACAAAAATACAGCAGATTAGATGTATCATTGCAATGTTAACAAGGAAAAGGTGCAAAAGAGACGAAGCATTTCATAAACAACTAAGTTTAAATTCCCTAGTTTTCCCTCCACAAAAAAAAAAAAAAAAAAAAGGAAGAAACAAATGAGCACAAATCTATGAAACAACAACAAAAAAAGGAAATCTATGATGTTTTAGTTTTTAGAAAAGAACTAGAAATTGAATTAGCAAGGCGATAAATTGAGATCTCAAGTTTGTGTCTGACAATAAACTATGACAGGAAAACTGACAGGTATCATGTATACATGTTTATTAAAAAATAAACGGGCACAAAAGAATGTAAAGTAGTAACTATTTATATTCTCTAGAGCAAATTAAGGCTCAAGTCAAGGGAAAGACAAGTAGTCATCTTCGAGCAAATGAGTTGACATGTTTTCCATCAGGCGACTACGGAAGCAAGTAATATCACTTTATTTCTCCTTTCAAAGGGGTCCCAATGCCTTGGAGATGGCTGTCTTACACCAATTAAAGAATAGGAAATATCTAACGTACTGGAGGTCTCCCTCTATTTTAGTTCTATATATGCAGGCCGAATAAGTACCAAACTTACTGAAGGAGACAAAAAGGTATTTGATCCTTATTCCAATATTCCTGGCCTTCAAACAAAGCCAAGGAGAAGCATCTCTCCACAATTTCTTTTTACCTTTTTATCGTATTCCTTTTTAGTTACTCAAACATGATATGTTAAAATAGCATAGACTGAAAATAATGCTCAAATATTCCAAAAGTTCATATCACAAAACAAAGGAGCAAGATATTGCATGAAAGTCTCATCTAAAATCATTAACTTCTTTTTACCCAAGGCAGAGTATAGTTAATATAATAGAATAAAAATGCATATAGGAAATGCTGCCTCAACTAATTCTTTACATGTCCATAGTAAACTAACAGAGGTTTATAGAGAGAAATGTATTAGTCTTCTTATTTTGACATGAAATAAGAGGCATCTCTCAACCAATTTCCTATCTCTTTGCTTTGTTTTTTTATCCAATACAAAGTACTTGAAGCTCTGGTCAACAGAATCTTCCATTTGAAAGGGAAAATGGTTTTGAAGTTTTCAAGAGATCATACATCATTAGATAGTGGATACTTTCAGTCAATATCAGAAAAAAAATTCCAAATTTAATTCTGGGAATATGGTTCCCAAACTTTGCCAGATAAAGAATATGAGAACATAAAAGTCTCTGGCGGATAAATTCTTGTACCCATTGTAAGGTGTGAAGTGTTTCAAGCAAGTTATAGTGCAGAGGAATATCATGCTAGGGCCCACAAATATGTAAAACTGGAAGGATGAGATCTCTTTTTGAGCCGGCTGTGAAGATTCGATTGGTTCTAGCGTTCAACTGGCTCTGTCCAAGATTCTATGCTTCACCTAGACTCCCTCTCTCTTTCTCACCCCATTCTCTTATAAGAGCTCTTTGGAAACATCTTTGGTCTGTGAAGTTGTACAACTAAGGAGATAGATAAGAGCAGTAGTACAGTTTTCTTGAACTGAGTATCAGAAGCAGAATTGTTCTCTGAAGAATAATACAGAAGAATCATGATTTGCATCTAAAGGGTAAGACTAGACTGAAACCAAGTACAGCAGATCACTTTCAGGTACGTTATAATTAGTTAAATTACTTATATCGTGCCTATTAACTCGCACCACAAGACTTAATTGCTAATCATCATACAGAAGGCCAGAAGATGTACCATCATCACCGCCAGGATAAGAGCATGCACCCTTCAACAAGAATGTCTATCTCTGAAAGGCATCTGTTCCTGCAAGGTGGAAATGGCAACGGGGACTCAGGGCTTGTCCTGTCAACAGATGCCAAGCCAAGATTGAAATGGACACCAGACCTCCATGAGAGGTTTACAGAAGCCGTTAATCAACTTGGTGGAGCAGACAGTAAGTGCACACAAATATACCAATTTCAAGATGCACCAGGAAGATGTTATTTCATGAAGATAATTAACTGCAATATTCTTCTGCTGCAGAAGCCACGCCAAAATCAGTTCTAAAGCTTATGGGGATCCAAGGATTAACCTTGTACCACTTAAAGAGCCATCTTCAGGTTAGTTCTTATTTGCTTTATGGCATTACAAATCCATGCAATAAACAAGACATTCTATGAGGGGCATATTCAGCGTTGAAGTTTAGCTACCACGGCAATAGTTCCAAACAAAACAACTGGTGGTAAGAGGGGAAAAGCATCTTTTGCATCAACTGCAAAGAATTTTCAAATTGTTTCATTTAAAATATTAAAGTGCAGCTGCCATATATGTACTTCTATAGTGTGAAGGAAAACTAATCAAAACTTTGTACCTGGGCTGGCAAAAATACAGAGAAATATAGCCCTTTGTTTTTCTTTACATCCATAAGACTGAAGAATATTTCTGACAATTTTTTGATCCTTTTAGATTGGCCAGAAACTAACGCTTTACAAAAATGCTGGCAGAAATACAGACTAAGTAAGAATCTCCATGGACAAGCAAATGCTAGTGGGGCTAATAAAGCTGGTAAGAAATCAAATACATACCCAAGAAAATAGTTCACAAAATTTCTTTTACAGAGAGAGAACATCTGAAAACTTACCGAGTTTGTGGAATAGTTGCAGCAGCAGGAGAAGATAGGATGTCTGAGAATAGTGCAACTTGCATGAGTAATCCAAGCATCGGACCCCAACCAAACAAGTAAGAACAAACAACGTTTGATCCTTCATTCAAACCATTCATCCTTCTATTTCATGTCTCAGCAAAATCCTCAGTTTTGATTATTCTGACAAAAAGTTATCCATTCAGAAACATTCAAATAAGTGAAGCAATACAAATCCAAATAGAAGTGCAGAGAAGGCTTCATGAGCAGCTTGAGGTATGAAATTACTGCAGAATTTCTCTTACGTATGAGAAGTGAGAGCAAAGCCTATGCCAAAAATACTTGTAGTAAAATTTGAGACTTCCTGGTTGATGATCTGAAAGCCGGAAGCATGAGAGTATTGAAACTTGATAGAAGGCACTTTCACCTTCAAGATAAGCAACTTGATATCTTCAATAATCTAGTTAACAGGCCTAGTCCATGTGTTCTGTGTTTCAAGAATTAAGAATCTAATCTAGACATGCATAGGGTGTTTTTTCTTTTCAAACTTTGAAATTCGAAGAAAATTTTTCCTTGACGCCTTCTAAATGAGCCCTAATTGAACTGATATAGGTACAACGACATTTACAGTTACGGATAGAAGCTCAAGGAAAATATTTGCATGCCGTGCTCGAGAAAGCACAGGAAACCCTTGGAAGACAAGACATGGGAACAGTAGGATTAGAGGCAGCCAAGGTCCAACTATCAGAATTGGTATCCACAGTATCTAACCAATGCCTGAACCCTACATTTTCTGATATAAAAGAACTATCAAGATTTAGCAGCCAACAAACACAAGCTACCCAACTAGCAGATCGTTCAATCGATAGCTGCTTGACCTCTTGTGAAGGCTCTTTGAGGGACAACACTATGCATAATAACCAAATTGGATTGAGGCCTTTCGAGTTTACACCATCTATAGAATGTAAGGATATTGAGAATGACACCAGGATACAACAGACAGCACTGAGATGGTGTGACAACCTCAAGGAGAGCAACAAACTATTCTCTGCAATGAATGAGGGTAAAGAAAAAAAATTCACCACAGAGACTAACTGCAAGGACTTATCAATGAGTATCGGACTTCAAGATGGAAACTTGGATGGAAGCAGTAATCATTCAGATGGGAAATTCAATGGAACAGACACAACTGTCAGACTTTTTCACCAGGCAGCCAACAGAGGCGATTCAATGCCAGAGAGGCAGAAGTCTTCACAAGAGTATAAGTTGTCTTACTTTGCACCTAAACTGGACCTAAACATGCATGATGAAACAGATGCAGCTTCAAGTTGTAAGCAATTTGACTTAAATGGTTTCAGTTGGACTTGAGTAACCTTATATCACAAAGGGTAAACCATGAGAGGAGACGCCAGGTAACTTGCTTCTAATATTTTGATTGAGATAGAGATCAGCATATGGAAACATAGCCTGATGGTTTCCTTGGAAGGAAAAAATTATGTATAATAATTAAAATTCCAGATCAAATAGAAATATAGAATATTGTAACTCCACTAGATCTGCTCAGATCTTATTTTCTGATCTCAAATTTTACTTTCATGCAAAGTTTCAGGTAGAAGAGGGTATTATTAATCCTTAGCACTTGAATGATCCTTCAATCGAAAACTCTTGCTCTAAAAGTCCTTAGGGGGTCATAAGCAGACCTCTTCTTAGGAATATACCATGGATTTTCCTACTCCATATGTTGCAAATACTTCCTCAAACGCCAACTGCCATATGATGCTAAATTATAATCACATCCAAAGTCACTTCAACAGAATATATAGAGTCCCAGAAATCAAACTAACGTCTTTGGAATATGTCTAACATACTGGAATAACAAATTCAAATAAATCCAATCACTTTCCTCAAATGTCACCCTAACAGTTAATAGTATAAAACTTTTCAAGTGTTATCAATAATCACTTTCGCTTATGAAAGAAGATACATTGAAGCTCAGGACAGAAAATTGATTACCTAATATCCAGCTTTTTATGAGGTGAACTTCTCTTTCAATCTCAACCTTATACATTTAGCATCAAAACTATAAGAAAACTATTTATCTGGAAGCTTGGTTCTAAAATTGGCCCGCTCTTTTCATTTAATAGACAATTGAAGATGGGAAAGTTTGAAGCTTAATACAGCGTGTGCTTTTTGGGTGTTTGATAAAATGCCGGAAGTTTTTCAACACAGGCATTGTAAGGTAAGCAAATGCAGAAATTCAAGTATAATTGCTTCAAATAGCGCTATTCTAAGCACATTTCATCCCAAAAAATTACACATAGTCATAACACCGCCAGCTAAATATAGGAAAACAGAAAATAAAAGAGAGACGAGGAAAACTTCAAATATTTTACGAACCCTAAGAAATCTCGTGAGCAGCGACGACCGGCAAAAGGAACTCGGTACCGGAGCATCACCGGCGACCGCCAGCTAAATATAGGGAAACAGAAAATAAAAGAGAGACGAGAAAACTTCAAATATTTTACGAACCATAAGAAATCTCGTGAGCAGCGACGACCGGCAAAAGGAACTCGGTACCGGAGCATCACCGGCGACGGCGAGGCAAAAAAATTTGGACCATTTCTCGATTTGTGCGTGTCATCCTTGCGCAGGGGCCATGCTAATCTTCTCTGTATCGTTCCAATTTTATCGGATGTCCCCGAAGGGACAATACTTGCTATTACGCTAGTGTTTTTAAGGGGAAAAAGAAATTCTTCTGTTTCCGATGAGGGAGAAGCGCAAAAGAGCATACTCACTGAGTAAATACCGTTTTGGATCCCAAAGTTCGAAAATTAAACACTTTCATCCTATTTTAAAAACGTTTATTTCAACATCACCCCCTTAAGTATTCATTCACGTAATGAAGTTCCATCTGCACTTGTGAAGATGTCAAGATTACTCTCTTTAAGACTTTAACCCATAGATTTTAGAAATGTTTTCTTTTGCTATATTATTAATAGGTGCCTGAATATAAAAAAATTGGAAAAATTGAAATATTTCTAACAACAAATGGACAATTGTCATATTTTAATCATATTATAGCAAATGAAGTAAAAGACATAAAAATATTAGCAAGATCAATGATTTTATTATCCCTATTATAATAAAAATCAGTCATTTTGTGAGATACGATATTCGAGTGAAGATGCTAAAAGTAAATTCATTCAACATACTCTATATAAGTAGGGGCAACTGATAAGGTATCGAATTCTCTTGAATATAAAAATATCTTATCTCATCTCATTGTTATAATATAGAGTAATGTAAGAATTACTTTAATACTCCTAAAGTCTCCATATCAAGGGCAGATTTAATAATGTGAATGTAGGTTCATTGGGATCTATAACTTTTAGCCTAAATCTGAATTTATTTGTATAAAATCTATTGGAGTTGCCGAAAACATCAAATAAAAAGATCTCAAACTCAAACATAGTAATGGATTTATAGTTAAAACTCTAATCTTGAACTCATAAAATTAAAGTTCGTGTATATATATATATATATATACACTTGTGAAGTTTTGACACTAAAACTAAGTATGTGTTTTGATATACATTAATGAATTTTGTACCTATTATTATTCAAAGATATACGGTAACGGAGTAAGTCAATAAGATAATAAATATTTTTATAAGGTATAGACCAGATATGATATATAAGTTGCTAATATTGTATAGAGTGTGTGTGTTCATGGAAGGAGGTATGTAACATATAATTATGGATAACTATAACTATCATAAATTGTGCATTTAATAGTTCATCATACTGTAATATCTATGATGGACATGTAAAAGGAGATTTTTTTTGGTAATTAAAATTTTTTGTTTACCAATTAAAAATATGTACAAAATATTTGAAAAACACCTAGAATATTTGGACAGTTGGCCCCAAATATGCTAGTACCAACAAAAACAGCAAGCCACCAGAGCAACTAAACAAAAGCTGTCTATGGATAGAAATTGAGAGCCTCCAGCTTCTTGATCAACCGAGCTTTCAGGCTTCATCTGAAATGAACCTCATTAGTGCCTTTTCTGAAACCTCAATCCCCTCCCACCCTCCCCCTTCCCCTCCCCCAGTCGACAAGAACCTTCTACAAGTAGCGTCAGTTAAGTGGACTATTTTTTTTTTTTTGGTAATACAAGTACCTGGTACCAAAAAACTTGTATTGAGAATAGGACAATTTTAATCAGCTGGACTCTCCCGGCATATGACAAGAATCTAGTAGTCCACGTCTTTATCCTACATAGAATTTTGTCTATTAGAGTTTGACAAACACTCTCTTTGTGCTGAGAGGCACTCCCAGATATCTAAAAGGCAACTCACCCTTCACGAATCCAAGAGTTGCATAATGGCACACTGATCATATGAATTTACTCCACCAAAATAAATGGATCTCTTCTCAATGTTAGCAATCATACTATGAGAAAACATCGAAAACACCCAAAAAGCATCTGGACCGATATAAAGTGGAGATTTGTTTATATGAAATTACGTTAAAAGAAAAATTATTACTTTTGATCGGCCTTAATTTCGTTTATTCATTATTGATTGATGAATTAAAGTAAAATCCTATACATTTGGTCTTCTCCAAAACCATCTCTGACGGCACAGTAACGTTGCTAGGGCAATGATATGGAAGCCAAATTATTATAAAAGGTTTCTTGATTCTCAATAGTAATATCTTCCTTATGAAATATATACTTTTTATAATGCTTCGCAGTAAGATTATTATGTTTTTATGTAAGACCCTTATATGTATATTTTAATTTATGCCATAATATATACGTCCATACATTAAGTTAGTTTCACATAAAGTCCATTGGTAAATTCAGTTTTTTCTTATATCAATATATAAATTCCCCAGCTTTATTGTGTCTCCAAAATGAGAATAAGTCCAAGCTAAGACACTTATAGTTATCAAAAAATAAAAATTATTTTTTGGTGGACATGCAGTTCACACTCAAAGATTTAAGCCATTTAATATTGGTCTTCTTTGGTCTCGGACCTGTTCTTTCTTGTCTTCTTATTGTCAATATAATAGTAACCAGTAGTTCCACACAATTTTAAAGAATTCTGTATTTGTCATCGATTACTACATTATATATTCAAATATAAGTTGTACTTGTGTCTGCATTGTTTCTTAAGCTAATGACGCATGTTTAATTCTGGAAAGAAATAATCACATGGACCAGCTGGGAAAAGAATACTAGGAGTAGTATATATTGTAATGGTGTTTTTTATTTATTTATTTTCAAATTAAAAACAAACATCAGTTTTCAGTAACATATATTCAAACAGAAGGGGATTGTTTAGTTGGATAAATAGAAATTTGGACAATTAATAATTCACTACTGCTGTAGATTTTTGAATATGTTATGAACATAACTAGCCAATAGGAGGATATGGATGAAAAATTAAACAATAACAATCACATACCCTGTGTATTTTTACAAGTGGAGTTTGGGAAGGTAGAGAGGTTGTTTCCTGTAGACTCTCGGCTCAGTGAAAGCAAAATCATACCAGCAGCGTTTACCCTTAAAATCGGATAACAATTAAACTTATAAGTGGTTTAAGGATATGTGATTTCACTTGGCACAAACTGATAAATATAAGAATTAATGCTAGGAATTAACAGTAAAACAAAGCAAACCAATATGATGAACAACTATGGCCCTCGAGCTAGACTGCACTCGAACCAACTGAGTATCCTTATTGAAAAGTATGAACTTGAACAACAAAGCTTGCAAGAGAAAATATAATATATATTTCCTAGTTACGCGTGAATGTAAGATGATTACAAATGGTTATGACCCTCTTTATATAGTAGAGGAATCCTATTTACGGAATAATTCTAATAACAGAAGGAAATCTCATGATTAGCTAAACAACCGTCCTTGATTTGATCTGCTTCGAGATTTCCGCCATGATCCTCGACCAGTCACAGATATCTCGCCTTTTCGTTATTATGCTATCTTCGGTTTCACTCAATGTCTATCCCGTTCGATCTCGATCATTACTAGTCTCGATCTCGACAAGTACATCGAATCTCGAATTCAGTACCTTATCCTCGTGTCCCGGTCTGATATGCTATGGGGCCGATCCTCGATCCATCCCCCTGGTCTCGGTTAGTCAGTAAAATCGGGTGGGCCCGGTTTTAACCGTATACAGATAGTCCCCTCGTTTTTTGGAATGTAATAACAAGAAACGAATTGAGTTTTCGAACTGGACCTTGGTTTACCATGACGTAAGCATTGTGACAGAAGCGATAGAGGTGACCGAAACGTCCCATCGGTTCAGTTTCCCATGCATATAAGGCGCGTCAGTTGCCGGTCGGCCACTAGCAACTTTAAACAGTCGCCGTGAAACCCATAAATAGGCCTCTTTTCCACTCTTTCAAATTTTACTTTTAATCTCTTCTGCTCTAGTCTTCAATTCCCTTTGCATTCTTCAAGTTCTTCATCTGTCAATCTTCAAGTTTCATTGCTAACCTCTTTTTTTAAAAACATTGAATATCCTAATCCATGTTCTTACTTGTTCACAAAAATGGCTAAGACCTCTAAAACTGTCCCTCATAAGGAAACCACTTCTTCATCAAAGTCTGCCAGCGGAACATTCCCTCGCGGACTTCGTTCTGACGAAGTGCGCCACTGTTGCTGATTTCAAGGTGCAGAATACACCCTCGACACCGGGTTGATGTGAACCCATGTCGAGGTACATGTGTACGGTTATCGAAAGTCTCCTCGAGAAGGTGAAAGAAGAGTGTAACTGGGTAGGCAAGGATGTAGAAGTGCCTAGCCCCGAGGAATCCATCACAATTCACAAGGAGGGGTATCTGAGTGTCTATACCTACCCCTTCATGATAAGTCCCTTAGACCCTATCATCATTGCCTTTTGCAAGAGGTATGATGTCACTCTGGACAAATCTACCCGTCGTTTTGGAGAATCGTGATCCTCCTTCGATTCTTTGTAAGCAAGATCGAGGGGCATCGTTTTACCTTCGATTACCTCATGCGCCTCTACATCCCCCGATTTTATCGTAGAGGCATGATCAAGCTTTATCGCCGAGCTTCCAAACCCTCGTTCTCGAGCATAGACGAGACTCGAGAACGAGGTTGGATGGGAAAGTTTGTCAGAATAAAGACTTCGGATCTAATCCCCGCCGAAGATATGTCGTTCCCTAAAAAGTGGAACATGAAACGTAAGTACTGCTTAGCGTTTTGAATATCTATTTTTCCCGTTCTGCCTTCTTGTCTTCCCTTCGTCTTAAGGTTTTTTTTGTGTTGCAGCTGTGGTTGTTGTGCTGGAAGTGATCCCCGACCTGAGGCAATGGGTCGAGGGACTGGTGTCACAAAAAAATTATTCCGAGCGTGCTTGGATGGAGTTATCAAAGGGCCAATGGGAGACCCATAACCACGGTAATCTTCTTTCTTCAAAAAGGTTTTCATTCAGGCTTTGATATTGTACTTACTCATCTTTTTCATTTTGTAGGCCTCGGGAAGGACGTTCCAATGAGGCCTCCCTCTGTTGAAGAAGAGGCACTTCTTTCCCAATCTATCCCGAAGCAGCGGAAAGAAAAGAAAAGAAAGGAGGCTCCGAATTCTCCAGGCCCGGAGAAGAAAAATCTGGCCAGGAGGCCCCGTAAGCCTAAGGGGAATATCATCTATGTATCTCTGGAGTCCGTCCAACAGGTAATGGACGAGACCAAAGACGAATACGATGAAGAAGAAAGCTCTGGATTTGTGTCGTGTGCGAGCTGGCACCG